CCCGGGGGGGTTTTTTTTTTTTTGTTTCCCCCGGGGGGGGGGGGGGGCAAGGAAGGAAGGCCTCTCTCCAGTTGGTCAGCGGAGCGCAGCTCCCTCCGCCTCTGTCTGCGTGGGGTGCCTGCCAGCCTCCCTGGGAACCTGCCGCTGACCAGCTGTTGAATGGGCCTTTGAGTAAACAACCCCCCTGGCTTTAGGATTGCAGTTCAGAGTAAAAGAATGTTGAACTTCTCCCCTGACTTGTTAGAAATGTGTGCTTTGGCTCCAGTGGAGGGACCCTTGGTCTCTTCTAGAACATCGCTGGTCCGGCCTGCTCCCGTGAAGCCAGCGAGGACACTTACGGAAACCCGCCAGTCGCCATCACTTTGTTGAGGCCTCCTGGCGTAATGAGACCTTGTTCCAGGGGAGAAGAATTGTGGCAAGGGGGCCATATCGGCTCTACTTGCAAAGGGAGGGGCACAGAGAAGGCAAGGCATTTGAAAAAGAGTCTAGATCTAGATAGTGGAGAAATAAATGCAAAAGCCATCAGCAGTCGGAACAGCAGCAGTGTTCCCAGTGGCATCGTGGGCGCTCAGCCATTCCCCGGTAAACGTTGCCTCCTTCACGCAGAGAGCCTGACGCTGGAGAACGCGGGCCTTGTCTCCGCACTTCCCCTGTGGCCCGCAGTGGTCCTCTGTTATTTCAGCGGTAAAAGCTTAGTGCTGTAACCCAGCAGCCTCATAAATTCTCCTGATGGAGACAATACTGACTCATTTTTACAAGTCCTGGCCGTCCAGGAGAGGCGGTAGCACTTCTATTTGCTGGTTATATTTACTAACAGTCGTTTTGCTAAGAGCCTCCTGTGTGTAGGCCTGTTACATGCATCATCTCACTTCATCCCCCCTCGCCTGTGAGGGACACACATTATTCTTATCGCATTTTACTTATGGGGCTTAGGGAGGTGAACTCACTTGCCCATGCCCACACAGGTAGAAAGTGGCCAGGCTCTGACCCAGATCCCACCTGATGGCCCACAGGGCAGTGCTCTTAATGCCAGCTTGCGCCCCCTGTGCTTGGAGCAGTGACCATCCAATGCCACAGGGCCGGGCAGGGACGAGGGGGGAGGGGAAGGGGTGCATCATGCCCGTGCAAGTGCAGAGCTGGATCTTGCCCTCTGAACATTTTGGTCTTTTGTGCATCATGGATTTTCTATTATTTGTCTTGGTTCCTGGGCTTTCCAGTGCTCAGGGCAGCTTTAATCATCTCTGTTTTGTGGGTGAGAACCACGAGGGTTACTGAGGTCAGGAACATGCCCGAGGTCCCATGGCTGAAAGCGCAGGAGCCGGGGTATTTGCCAGGCCCTGGAACCCAGGCTGGGGACAGTGCGTGGTTTGCCTCGGGGGATGGTGGAGTCCTCAGGATTGTGCCTCTCTTCCAGGTCCGGAAAGAGGTTGAAGAAGACTCGCAAGTATGACATCATCACCACCCCCGCTGAGCGAGTGGAGATGGCCCCGCTGAATGAAGAGGATGATGAGGATGAAGACTCCACAGTATTTGACATCAAATACAGGTGCGGGTGGGGACAGCAGCTGCCCTGGGCTCCCGGGCTTGGGCGGTGAGAGGGTTCACCTTTGAACACCCCGAAAGGCCAGGCGCGGGTCCTTGTTCTCTGTTCAAGTGTTCGACCGTGGGATGTGCTGCTTATGGGGGGAGCTGCTCTGATCCCTACACAGCACCCAGAAAGCCAGCAGGGAATACTTACAGATAAAGGGTTATTCCTCACTTTCCCCAAATGTGAACACTGAAAAGTCAGCTTTATAGGAGGAGAGGGAGGACGGCATTTCAGACAAGAAGTTGGCCATGTGCTTGCTGTGAGGGACTTGGTTTGAGCAGCCCCATCTGCAGTCACTGTGAACACAAATGGACATTTCTCAGCCTCTTAAATGGATTCCCGAGAGCATGGGGTGGGCATGGGGGCTACTCCTTGGAGGGACTTCATGGATGAGCTCCCAAGCCAGGTGCGCTTCCTCAAGGCATGTAGGAAAGTCGGAATGATGTGGTGACTTCAGGAGTACAGTGTGGTTTTCGGATCCTTTGGAGATAGACTTCAGCTATGTAGGATTCTCAGAGTGGGAGCTGGGGGCGAATGTAGTTTAGAGATGAGGGCTCAGGGGTCTAGAGAGGGGATGTTGCTTGCCCTAGGTCTCAGTTATCAGTGGCAAAGGTGAGACACAGATCCAGGCTGGACCCAATCCTGAGCTTCCCCCCCATCCCCCCATCGTCCAGGGTTTTCCAGAGAAACAGAGACAATAATCTTATATCTATACTAGAGGCCCAGTGCACGAAATTTGTGCACTTAGGGTGTCCCTCAGCCTGGCCTGTGCCCTCTTGCAGTCCGGGAGCCCTCGGGCCCTCGGGAACTGACGGCTTAGGGGAGTGGGCCTAAGCCATCAGTTGGACATTCTTAGCACTGCCACAGAGGCGGGACCCCGCTGAGCGCGTGGAAATGGCCCCGCTGAATGAAGAGGATGATGAGGATGAAGACTCCACAGTATTTGACATCAAATACAGGTGCGGGTGGGGACAGCAGCTGCCCTGGGCTCTCGGGCTTGGGAGTTAGAATTTACAGTTTTGGTGAAGAGCAGCACCCTTTGAGAAGAATAAGTAATAGTCATACTACAAAATAATATACACATAAGAAAGTTAGTGATCGTACTGATTTTATTGCTTAGCCATTTTATCTGGCTCACATTCAATGCACAGAAATAACACATAATGTGAAGAAAACTGTGTCCTCCTCATTAGTCACAATGAAAAGGGTCTGCTGTACCCGCAGGCCAGTGGGTATGGTACAGTAAGAGCACTTGATGGTTTAAGTGGACCAACGTGCTGTTTTGATTCTGAGCCACTGAATAAAATAATTTCATCCATATTTGGTGACCAGAATCACTTTGTGGGCTCTGTGATACACTGAACCATTTTTGTGGTAGTTTCAGATCTCACTAAGTAAGAAAAAATTCTTCAACAAAGAAATATAGTAATCAGTCTGTCCAGAAATTCTATATGCAGGCTCTTTCTTGAGTGTAAGGTAGAAAAGGGGGCCCTTTCTTGAGTACATTGATACAAGTAGTATTGTCGTCTAAAGGCTGGTAGTCTGGCCCGGCCGGTGTGGCTCAGTGGTTGAGCATTGACCCATGAACCAGGAGGTCATGGTTAGATTCCAGTCAGGGCACATGCTCAGGTTGCGGGCTCAATCCCCTGTAGGGCACGTGTAGGAGACAGCTGATCAGTGATTCTCTCCATCATTGATGTTTCTCTCCTTCTCGATCTAGATAGTGGAGAAATAAATGCAAAGGCCATCAGCAGTCGTAACAGCAGCAGTGTTCCCAGTGGCATCGTGGGCGCTCAGCCATTCCCCGGTAAACGTTGCCTCCTTCACGCAGAGAGCCTGACGCTGGAGAACGCGGGCCTTGTCTCCGCACTTCCCCCGTGGCCCGCAGTGGTCCTCTGTTATTTCAGCGGTAAAAGCTTAGTGCTGTAACCCAGCAGCCTCATAAATTCTCCTGATGGAGACAATACTGACTCATTTTTACAAGTCCTGGCCGTCCAGGAGAGGCGGTAGCACTTCTATTTGCTGGTTATATTTACTAACAGTCGTTTTGCTAAGAGCCTCCTGTGTGTAGGCCTGTTACATGCATCATCTCACTTCATCCCCCCTCGCCTGTGAGGGACACACATTATTCTTATCGCATTTTACTTATGGGGCTTAGGGAGGTGAACTCACTTGCCCATGCCCACACAGGTAGAAAGTGGCCAGGCTCTGACCCAGATCCCACCTGATGGCCCACAGGGCAGTGCTCTTAATGCCAGCTTGCGCCCCCTGTGCTTGGAGCAGTGACCATCCAATGCCACAGGGCCGGGCAGGGACGAGGAGGGAGGGGACGGGGTGCATCATGCCCGTGCAAGTGCAGAGCTGGGTCCTGCCCTCATTGAACATTTTGGTCTTTTGTGCATCATGGATTTTCTATTATTTGTCTTGGTTCCTGGGCTTTCCAGTGCTCAGGGCAGCTTTAATCATCTCTGTTTTGTGGGTGAGAACCACGAGGGTTACTGAGGTCAGGAACATGCCCGAGGTCCCATGGCTGAAAGCACAGGAGCCGGGGTATTCGCCAGGCCCTGGAACCCAGGCTGGGGACAGTGCGTGGTTTGCCTCGGGGGATGGTGGAGTCCTCAGGATTGTGCCTCTCTTCCAGGTCCGGAAAGAGGTTGAAGAAGACCCGCAAGTATGACATCATCACCACCCCCGCTGAGCGCGTGGAAATGGCCCCGCTGAATGAAGAGGATGATGAGGATGAAGACTCCACAGTATTTGACATCAAATACAGGTGCGGGTGGGGACAGCAGCTGCCCTGGGCTCTCGGGCTTGGGAGTTAGAATTTACAGTTTTGGTGAAGAGCAGCACCCTTTGAGAAGAATAAGTAATAGTCATACTACAAAATAATATACACATAAGAAAGTTAGTGATCGTACTGATTTTATTGCTTAGCCATTTTATCTGGCTCACATTCAATGCACAGAAATAACACATAATGTGAAGAAAACTGTGTCCTCCTCATTAGTCACAATGAAAAGGGTCTGCTGTACCCGCAGGCCAGTGGGTATGGTACAGTAAGAGCACTTGATGGTTTAAGTGGACCAACGTGCTGTTTTGATTCTGAGCCACTGAATAAAATAATTTCATCCATATTTGGTGACCAGAATCACTTTGTGGGCTCTGTGATACACTGAGCCATTTTTGTGGTAGTTTCAGATCTCACTAAGTAAGAAAAAATTCTTCAACAAAGAAATATAGTAATCAGTCTGTCCAGAAATTCTATATGCAGGCTCTTTCGTGAGTGTAAGGTAGAAAAGGGGGCCCTTTCTTGAGTACATTGATACAAGTAGTATTGTTGTCTAAAGGCTGGTGGTCTGGCCTGGCCAGTGTGGCTCAGTGGTTGAGCATTGACCCATGAACCAGGAGGTCATGGTTAGATTCCAGTCAGGGCACATGCTCAGGTTGCGGGCTCAATCCCCTGTAGGGCACGTGTAGGAGACAGCTGATCAGTGATTCTCTCCATCATTGATGTTTCTCTCCTTCTCCTCTCTCTGAAATAAATAAAAACTGCCACTCTATTTGGTTACCTTTGCCGGGAATAGCCTGATACATTCTTTGTGCAAAGATTTAAAAAAAATTATTGATGTTCAGTTCTTTAAACAGTTATAGGACTATCTAGTCTTTATTTTTTCTTGGGTCAGTTCTGATGGGTTGTATTTTGTTCTTTCATGTAAGTTTTCAAATGTGTTGTCCTAAAGTTGTTCACAACATTTTTCTTTTTTAAAAAAATAAGTTTTTTTATTGGTTTTTAGAGAGTGAGAGGAAGGAGAGGGAGGGAGAGAAAGAGAGAAACATCGATGAGAGAGAAACATCCATATGCTGTCTCCTGCACATCCCCTACTAGGAATTGAGCCCACAACCCTGGCATGTGCCCTGACTGGGAAAAAGAGATTTATTATGGAAGCCCAAGAACCAGGAGAGCCCACGGTGTAAGTTCCAGTCCCAGGGCAGGAGAAGACCAATGTCCCACCTCAAAAACAGTCAGGTAGAGAGAGCAAATTCTCCTTATTCAGCCTTTTGCTCTATTCGGGCCTCCAACGGATTAGGTGAGGCCTACCCGCAGCGGGGAGGGCAATCTGCCTTACTCAGGCTATGGATGTAATTGTTCATCTCATCCAGAACACCCTCCGAGGCATGCCCGGAATAATCTGTGAGCAGATATCTGGGCACCGTGTGACCTAGTCAAGTCAACACATGAAATTGACCATCACACACAGCTTTCCCACACCTGGCAGGGAAGTCTCCCACACCTCCCTGACCTCTCCTTGGCGCTACTTAGCCTTGGCCCTTCTGATTCAGCAAAGCAACATTTGGGATTTTGATTAGAGCTGTATGGACTCTATTGATCAGTTTAGGGAAAATCAGCCCTTTTATGTTGGCTTTTCCAGTTCATGAACATGAAATGACTTTCCATCTTTTTTTAGATATTTTCAAAAATGTCTTTCAGTAATTTCAAAAATTTATCCATAAATGTATTATAAATTTTTATTCAGTATTCTCAGGTATTTTATATTTTGAGACATATCTGCTTTACAAATACTATTTTCTTGTACTCTATGCCTAAAAAAATGACTGTTACCATATTTACATACTTTACTCATGTTGGAAATAGTTTGTCAATGAATCCCATCTAGGAGACACAAGCAAAACACAGATTGGTTATAGATAGCAGAGGGAGGGGAACAAATCATTAGGTAGAATTGACATTTTTGGTGAAGAGCAGCACCCTTTGAGAAGAATAAGTAATAGTCATACTACAAAATAATATACACATAAGAAAGTTAGTGATCGTACTGATTTTATTGCTTAGCCATTTTATCTGGCTCACATTCAATGCACAGAAATAACACATAATGTGAAGAAAACTGTGTCCTCCTCATTAGTCACAATGAGAGAGAGAAAATCGATGAGAGAGAAACATCCATATGCTGTCTCCTGCACATCCCCTACTAGGAATTGAGCCCACAACCCTGGCATGTGCCCTGACTGGGAATGGAACCAGGGACCTCTTGGTGTGTGGGTTGAAGCTCAACTACTGAGCCACACCGGTTGGGCACACAACATTTTCTTATTCTCATCTTTTTAATCTTTGTAACATGTGTGGTCATGGTCCCTTTTTATCCTTAACATTGATTACAGTTGCCTTTTCTCCTTTTTCTTGATCCAGCTTGCTGGAAGTTTAATTTTATTCGTCTATACAAAGAACAAACTTCAGCTTCTTTGATCCTCTCTATTATATTGCCATTTCCAATTGATTTCTGCTTCTCTTCCTTAAGCTTTCTTTGGGTGTGTTCTGTTCTTTCCCCCTAACTTCTATTGAATATTTAGTCATTCATTTTCAGCCCGTCTTTCCTGGAATGTTTATTCTGTAACTTTATCTACTTCGGCTGCCTCCCACAGGCTTTCCTTATCACGGCTGGGCACTAGCCTGCCTTCCTGTGTGTTGGGAAGAACTGGACTTCAGGTAGTTCGCATTAGAAGTTTGTGCTGTTCATGGTTGAAGTAACATCAAGATGTCAGTGAACTTGAAGTGAATCACTTAGACACAAGACCGCTCTAGTGCTCAGGCTCAAAGACAACTGACCATTTAGAGAGACTGTTTAGAGGCCTTCCTTATCACGGGTGTATCCTTATTCCAGATAAGAAAAAGGGGAAATAAAATGACCTGTAATCTCACTGCTTCGCAACAACCACTAGAGTGTGTGTGAGTACATACGTGGAATTTCCTTTTGTACAGAAATAGGACCATGTCATACATGCTGTTTTGGAACATCTTTCACCTGAACAGCAGGCACATCACGAACAACTTTTCAGGTCAATATGTTTGAAAAGAACACCAATTTCAGGGGCAATTTTATGTTCAGTTTAGTGATTTTGAGAACTTCCTTGTCTACACGTGATCATCTGTTCACAGCTCTTTGTCTTTCTCTGGGAAATAGTCCATTTAAATCGGATGTGGCTGGATTGTAACCTTGGGTGATTTCATGAGTGAGTGCGAAGAGGAAAGTCCTGTTTTTGGTGCCAGGGCAGTCAGGCAGTACCTGGCTCTTACTGTTATACATGTGTAGTCCTGATACTATCTTGCAACTTAGCTCCTCAGGCAGGAAATGGAGAGAAGGCAGGCAGGCGAGGCTGCGACAGCCTTCTTGTTAGGCTCCCATCCCTGCGATGTTATAATCCATCAGATAAGACCTCCAAAGTGTAGGGTCAGAAGTGCTGCTGGTGGTGGGGGGACCTGTAGAAATGAGATTCCAACTCTGTACTTAAAAAGGCTAATTAAGCCCAGTTGGTGTGGCCCAGTGGTTGAGCGTCCACCTATGAACCAGGAGGTCACGGTTTGATTCCCGGTCAGGGCACATGCCCAGGTTGCGGGCTTGATCCCCAGTAGGGGGCGTGCAGGAGGCAGCCAATCCATGATTCTCTCTCATCAGTGATGTTTCTATCTCTCTCTCCTTCTCCCTTCCTCTCTGAAATCAATAAAAATAATTTTTTTAAAAAAAAGCCCAATTAAAAAAGAGGAAGCGGTGGCTATGCAGAGTACAGAGAGAACCCGGAGGTTTTGAAATGGCTCCATATTTCAAAAGATGACCGAATCCTGGTTGCATGTGTTTTGAGCTTGGTTGGCCTCACATGCAGTTGTGGCTGATGTTTTGGGTCGGTGTGCATCCCTGCTTTATTATAGGAGACTTTTTTGACACCCTCTGGGCGTCCCCTAAGGCAAGGCAGATGCTGTTCTTCCGCTTGTCTGGTAGGTGGCATCGGCAGTGTGACAAATGCTGCCCAAAGGTATGGTGCCTGGAGAACACGCTGCTCCTGCCAGCCCTGCCTTCCCCCAGGAGGGAGGCTTCTGCTCCTTTGCTCCTTAGGTTTGGAAAAAATGTGCCTGTGGGGTGCAGGTATGTGTTCTAAAATTGCCTGCCTCCCACCTCTTGTGGATAGAACTGCCTGTGGGAGTTTAATTAAAAACTGATAAGATTTCCATTGTCTCACTGGAGGCCATGCCTGGCATCTTGTCTTAGGAACAGAGGGCATTTGGTGGCTGTTGGCAGCAAGGGGACCCTGGAGACGAGGCTGGGAGTAGGAGAAAACAGACTTGACTTATTTCTTGACTGAGGCCTGGGGTTCAGTTGCAAAGCTCACTCAGGGCAGGGACTGCTTGAGAGGTTGGGCTCGAAGGCCCTTGTGCCCACCTCATTTTCTGAGGGTGGGAGCGAAACTCTTTAGAACATTAGTATGTGGACTGTAGAGGCGATGGATATCGTGGGCTTCTGAGGCCTGGGAGGAGTCGGAGGGTACACGGTGACCTGCAGGCTCCCCCCAGATGCTGGGGCATCTGACCTGGGCCTGCAGCAGCATCAGGGGCATCCCCAAACCAGTTGGAATAAAGCTCTGCCAGCCCTGCTCCTTGCAGAATGCTGAGCGTGTGTGTCAAAAGTGGGCATCTCACGGGGCGATTTTGTTTGTTTGAAAAGCAATATTGGCACTTGGGGGCAGTTCTCAGCTACGGTATCACGCATCTTAAAACTATTTGAGCTTCATGTCTGTAAGGAGCGAGCCTATGCGAACAGGAAGTCTGTGTGGCAATGAAATTTACTACTAAGTGAGTCTGACTTATTCAGTTCTTGCCTACATACACGTGCAGTTTATAGTGCTGCCTAAGAATCTAGATTTGTAAAAAAAGAGAGAGAGAGAGAGAGAGAGAGAGAGAGAGAAACCAGCATTTATATCTTTTGCCAAGCTCTGGCATAAACAGCTATAGAAGTACTAGGAAGGAGGGATCCAAAGAGAAAAGAGGTGGTGGCCTAGGGCAGTGGTCGGCAAACTGCAGCTCGCGAGCCACATTCGGCTCTTTGGCCCCTTGAGTGTGGCTCTTCCACAAAATACTGACTTCTGCGCATGGGCCACGAAGTTTCAATCGCACTGTACATGTGCACCCGCACGTAGTATTTTGTGGAAGAGCCACACTCAAGGGGCCAAGGAGTTGCATGTGGCTCGTGAGCCGCAGTTTGCTGACTACTGACCTAGAGGATCCGTGTGGGGAACTAAGAAAGGATCCCGAGCTGGGATCTGAGGGAAGGGGAGGGCTTACTTGGAGGAATGGAGCTCGCCTTCCAGACAGCAGCACGTTCAAAGGTCCTGTGGTTGGGGAGTATGACTATAGGATGGAGACTGTTTAGAGAGGAGCCAGAATAGGTCTGGGACTCTGCAGGAAGGCACTGACTCACTCTTCCTCTTCTTTTAGGTAAAACCTGTTTCCCAGCGTGTTGGCATCCTGTGGAAAGTTGGTCAGCTGCACCTGGGCGGGAAGGATCTGGAAGCTGTCTTGTCCGAGGTGTTGAAACCAAAACAAACATTATTTATGAAACTGGCACATTTGTGTGTGTCGAACGTCTGCTCAGAACGTCACCGCAAGAGAATCGCCTCTCCCTTCCTCTGGACACCACTTTAAAATGTTGCCCTTCTTTCCTCCTCAAGGGGCTTCTGCCTTGCCAAGGGGCACAGGGTAGAAACGTGTTGACTTAAAAAATATTAACTTGAAAGCAACTGTTGACAAAAGTAAAAGAGATCAGAAGTTATGAAGAACCTCAAGAAGGATATCCATCTGAGCAGTGAGGCGTTCTGACATTCTGCTCTCCTGGATCTGTGACGTGCGAGATGTCTAATCCTGTGGACTTTGGGTTTGGTCAGGATCTGGCCTTCTGTTGGGAATGGCTGTGTTCAGAGTGAGAGTCGTTGGAGCTGGTCAGCCCATAGCAGAAGTATATACATGTTTGTGGCTCCTGTTCTTTTTCTTCTTTTGTTTAAAGGGTTCAGCAGAACTGGGCATGGCTAGTTCATAAAGGATTTTGAATATCAGGGAAAAAAATATATGTGTGTATGTCTGTACCTCTAAAATAATTTCTTCTTGTCTGAAGGAAAAAGAATGCACTAGAGGCAGCCTTTGGTTAGTAACATCCTGTGTGTCTCTGTGCCTGTCATAGTTTTTACATTGTCGGTCTTAGACATCTAATTGCAAAATATCACTGTGGTCATTTCAATGCATGATGGTTTGGTTGGCTGAAAAAGCACACTGTCCAGGCTGGACTAGAATCCCGCTGACTCAGGGGGTACCCCAGCTGTGGGTCAGGGGTTCGGGTGGCTTCTGGAAGCAGGGACTTGGGTTGGCTTCTCAGGTTGATCGGGGTTCCCGTTTCACTGTTCCCAGGGTGGATGCTCCTGCTAAAGCTGACTGACAGTGCCTTTGGGGCCCTGGGACTCTGTTCTCCCCGGAAAGGTGTTTTGTACTTTAAAAAAAAGCTCTTTTCTGGCTTCCTGCAGGGTTTGTGTATCGGTCTGTTAATTGTCTGCACCATTGCCTTGGATGAAAACTCTAGCCTTTCCCAGCTGAGCCAGCCCTTTTTCAGTTGCCAGAACTGAAGCCCTGGCCTGTATGGAAGGCACATTGGCCCCTGCAGGAAAGGCGGGTTGGGGGGGTGGAGGTGGGGGTGACCCTGGGGGAGACCACTATGGGAAGAGCACGTGCTGTATGGAACGCACCCTGCCTGCTCCTCCCTGATTTCATTTCCTTTGTTGATTTTTCCTTTTCCTCTTTTCTGTCCTGTTTGCCAGAGGGATGGGCCCGCTTTCTCTCTCCCCACCACAGTGTCTTCATGGGCCAGACTGGTGACTACATGGCAGCTGTGCACCCTCTGCCCTTTGGACTGGAACTGCCGCTCACACTTGCCTTTTCCACAAGCGCCGCAGAATGATCTGCCGGAAGGCTGGGTCCTCTGCCTTACATGTACAGACCGGCTCAGGCTGCCCGGTGCTCACCGCCAGGCCTGGCAGACGCAGCGGACAATGACCTTCCAAATTGTGGAGCTTCAACACTACAGGCTCTTAAATCAAACAAACAAACAAAAACATCAACAACAAAAAACCTTCTGCATGAACCATGAGTGCACTGGTTTGGATGTTTTTGAGATGGAGGCCAGCAAGATGCCTTTTGGTGATCAGGGATGAGGACGCAAGACTGGAAGAGGAGGGGGTGGGGCCCAGTGCCATGTGCCTGGACCTGGTGGTTTAGAGAAAAGCTTAGAAATGAAATGGCCCTTGGAGAGGGGGGACAAGCTGTTATTCCACATACATTTTCAGGTCTATTTCCCAAGCCCTAGCTGGTTTGGCTCAGTGGATAGAGCATCTGTCTATGGACTGAAGGGTCCTGGGTTCGATTCCGGTCAAGGGCACATGCACATGCCCGGGTTGTGGGCTCGAGGCATGTAGGAGGCAGCCAATCAATGATTCTCTCTCATCATTGATGTTTCTCTCTCTCCCTCTCCCTTCCTCTCTGAAATTAATAAAAAAAAAACTTAAAAAATAAAAAATAAATCATTTACCTAGAGCTGCCTCTTTGGTTGATAAATACTGAACCCTCATTGTTTTTGGAGAATCTTGGGGTACCTCCAAAGAATAAAGAACCAATTGTGTCAAAAACTGCTGGCTAATTATTGCCTCCTACCTTGCTAGGCTTAAGCTTTCCAGGAGTGGGACCGGGTAAGATCAGACTGTTTATATGAAATGAGTAAGTTCCAGAAAGAAAAGCTCATTGACTCCATTCTAACTTGGGGTCCTTAGATGTTATGGAGAAGCCGGTGGGTGAGGCCTGCCTTACTCCCCCAAGGAGCTAGCGCTCCTGTTCTCTGCCTTCTAAACTGGTCCAGGGGCTCCTCATGGTTTTTAAGTTGTTTTTACAGTTGTTCCCTGTGCCTTTCTTCTCTTGATCTCTTGCCTGTGGTTTGCTGTTTTTATAGTGTTTTGTTTAGGTTGCTTTCTTTTTGTGTACCTTTGTAGGTTTATGTATATCATTCTTTATAGCACTCTATTTGAAGCTGATTGACGTTTAAATTTGAATATATTCTGTAAGGACTACATTTTTACTTCCCTATACATGCTTTGTTATTGATGTCATATTTTAGATCTTTCTGTGTTGTGTATCTCCTAAGTACTTATTGTAGTTTGAGTTGAGCTTGATACTTTTTTTTTTAACCATCGTAGTAGCTTTTTAAATGTGTGATTTGCTGTATTTATTGAACATTTGGCTGTCTCTGTGAGGTTTTTTCCCTCATGTTTTCTTATTTCTGGTTATGGCCTTTCCTTTTCTACTTAAAGGAGACCCTTTAATATTTCTTGAAAATCTGGTTTAATGGTGATCATGAAGTCCTTTAGTTTTTGCTTATCTGGGAAACTCTCTCCTTTAATTCCTTGCTGGGTAAATTATTCTAGGTTGCAAGCTTCCTTGCTACTTTGTATGCTCTCTTTTAAAAAAATAGATCAAGAACTTTGTCGTTGGATGAAAACAGCGCCTGCTCAGAGATTCTGTGTTGGAATTCTCCTTTTCCAGTGATTGACCCCATCTGCCTGGTCCTAGGCTCTCTTCCATCTTGGCAAGATGACGCTGATGCAGGGACACTTCCCACAGGCTTTTCCAGAGTGTGGCCCAAGGATCAGGAAACAGACTTTAGTAAAAGCCCTGGAGCAGTTGGAGTTCTTTTACTTATCACACCTGACTCTTCTGGAGTCTGTTCCAAAGGAGAAGTTAGCAGAGTCCATTCAACGAAATGAAGAATTCTTTAAAGAGGTCCTGCCACTCCCTTTTGGCCTGTAAAGTTGCTGAGAAATCAGCTGACAGTATCACAGGGTTTCCTTTTTGTGTAACATTTTTCGCACGCTCCCTTCAAGAATGCCTCTATCTTTAACTTTTGTCTTGCTGTGGGTCTCTCCGGGTTCATCTTGTTTGGAACTATGCTTCCTGGACCTGGATGTCTGTTTCCTTTCCCAGGTTAGGAAAGTTTTCAGCCATTATTTAAATAAAGTTTCTTTGTTTTTCTTTCTTCTCCTTCTGGGATCCCTATAATGCAAATACTAGAGTGCTTTAAATTATCATGTGTGTTTTTTCTTGTTTTTAATTCTTTTCTCTTTGTTTTTCTGATTGGTTGATTTCCACTAGTCTGTCTCTAGGTCACTGCTCTGATCTGTATTAGCTAATCTATTTCTGATTTCTGGGTTTTTCATTTGTTATTGTGTATTCTTCAGATCTGCTTGGTTCTTTCTTATACTTCCTAATTCTTTGTTGACGTTTTCCCTAAGTTCCTCTATTCCACTCCCAAGTTTTGTGTGAAGATCCTTATGGCCATTTTTTAAAATTTTATCAGGCAAATTATTTGTTTCCTTAGGGTACACCTCCCCTCGACCCCGGGGATTTTTCTTATTCCTTCTAGAGATGTTCTTCTGTCTTTTCATTTTGTTTGACTTTCTGTGTTTGTTTATATGAATTAGACAAAATAGCTGTCTTGGAAAAGCGGCCTTATATAGAAACCGGCTCTGTGCGGGGTGGTTTTGGCAGACCCGTAGGAGCCGAGCGGTGCCTAAGCCCATCAAGAGCGGCCCCAGGTGGGGAGACCAGGTGTACCTAGTAATGCCTTGTTGGCCCTGCTGGCTCTCTGTCCCAGCTGAGATGGGCTCCAGCGATGTGTCCAGAAACAAACACACTGCAGCGACCTTGCAGGCTCTCGCCCACCCTAAGGAGGTGGAAGGGATGTAAACCATGGAGATCACCAGCCCCTCTAACTCCGGAGAGGCCCGCTGGCTCCCCAGTCTTCTCTGTGCAGCCTCTCTCTGGTTGGTTGCATCGAAAGTGATTCACGTAGAAGCGACCTCCACGTGGCTCTGCATTCCAGATGGTTGTGGGGGCCGAGCATGCGCTCTGGGCGCCTGGGCACGAGCCTGACAGGAGGAGCGGAGCATGCGCTCTGGGCGCCTGGACATGAGCCAGAGGAGGAGGAGCCGAGCATGCCCTCTAGGAGCCTGGACAGGTGCCTGACAGGAGGAGCCGAGCATGCGCTCTGGGCGCCTGGGCACGAGCCTGACAGGAGGGCTCTTGTCGGCGAGGCCCTGGCTGTGGTGACGCCTGCGGCTCCGCCTGCTCCCTGTGCTCCGAGCCAGCTTCTCTGCGTCTCTCCCTCGTTTGTTGTCAGAGCGTCACTGGGCGCTGTTGTCTCAGGGGTGGCGGCTCCCTGTGCTCGCGGGGCCTTGGTTCTGCCCACGGGGGACGGGCTCAGCGTCCTCCTCCCCCCGCCGGCTTTCCCCCTTCTCCATTTTCTCTCCAGAAAGTATTGATTATGTGGCCATTCTCACACCGTGCGGGGATGCGGGGAGATTGGGGGAAGTTGTTGCAAAATGACTTTTTTGGTAAGGACATCGGCACCTTATCCCCCAAAGGGAGGTGTGCCCCCTTCCGTGGGATTCCTTTGTGTGGGTAGAATTTTAATAGAATCCGGAGAAGATGACCCAGGGGAGCAGGAGGTGGGGCATGGGGTGTATCCGTGCCCCGCACTTGCTACTGATTTGGGACTTGAGCCATCGCAGCCATTTCGAGCGGTGGGGACATTGTCGGAAAGAGAAGAGGAGGAGATGGGAGAAAGAGGGCGGGGGTGGGGTGAGGAGGAAAGCAGAGGGGCCGCCACTGCACCCACAGAGGCAGCCTCAGCACCCCTCTCTCACCCCCCCCCGCCCGCCCCCCTCCTCCTGGAGCCGAGCCATGCGTTCGCAGCTCCCACTGCTGCTGGCCTTCCTCACCTCGCTCCTCTGGAGGCATCGGGGTTAAGTCTTGTCTTGTGTAATCAAATGATTTCATCCTTTGAGGGCGAGGGGGGGCCTGGAGGTGTCTGCTGCAGCCCTCGCCCCATCCAGCGCAGAACAAGGTCTGAGACCCCCCCCAGGCTGCTTGCGGGGCTGGGGGGACAGGTGGGAGCCAGCGCTTACCTGGGGCCTGGCCCTGCCGGCATCTGGAAACGTCCTTGTGGTTTTAATTTTTTTTTATTATTTTTTACATTTTAATTTCTTTATTGATTAAGGCAGCGGTTCTCAACCTGTGGGTCGCGACCCCTTTGGCGGTCGAACGACCCTTTCACAGGGGTCGCCTAAGACCATCCTGCATATCAGATATTTACATGACGATTCATCACAGTAGCAACATTACAGTGATGAAGTAGCAACGAAAATAATTTTATGGTTGGGTCACAACATGAGGAACTGTATTTAAAGGGCCAGAAGGTTGAGAACCACTGATCTAGATAATAGTAACCCTTGAAATTTTGGTGTGTTTCCCCCCTGAACTAATTTCCTGACTTCCTTCTTTCCCCGCTTCCGTCATTTATCCACTCATCATTTGCAGACATTTAGGAGCGTGTTAATTGGAAGGCTCAAGAAGTTGAGTCTGGGGGACAGCCAGCCATGACCTCCGGGGAAGAATAAAAAGCAGTGACAGAGACCCAGGGACCTCAGAAGCCCTTACAAGGGAGGGAGGGACTAGCTTTGTTTGGACAACAAGTGAGCTCTGGACTGTATGTGGGTGCCTTTTCCATGTTCTTCTTTACAAAATTGGGCTATATAACCTGTTCTTTTTCACTTAATATTATGACCATTTCCCAGTGTCCATAATATTTAAAAACAATTAAAAAAATTTTTTTCTTTATTAAGGTATTACATATGTGTCCTTATCCCCCCATTGCCCCCCTCCTTCCCCCACTCATGCCCTCACCCCCCTGGTGTCTGCGTCCATTGGTTAGGCCTATATGCATGCATATACGTCCTTTGGTTGCTCTCTCCCCTTTACCCCCGCCCTCCCCTACCTTCCCTCTGAGGTTTGACGGTCTGATTGATGCTTCTCTGTCTCTGGATCTGTTTTTGTTCATCAGTTTATGTTCATTATATTCCACAAATGAGTGAGATCATGTGATATTTAGCTTTCTCTGACTGGCTTATTTCGCTTAGCATAATGCTCTCCAGGTCCATTCATGCTGTTGTAAATGGAAGAGTTCCTCCTTTTTTACCGCAGCATAGTATTCCATTGTGTAGATGTACCA